TTATATTTATATAATAAACTGCAGAAATTTCATATTTAAGGATGTGACTGCAGTCTAGTCTTGTTATTTGCAGGCCTGTAAGGTTACTCTGAGAGTACCCCAACTTAACTCTTCCCTCTGAGCCACAGCTCTGGGATTTCTGAACAGCACCAGAGCATCTGCTGGTGACACTGCTCGGTGTTAGGATCACCTGCTCTGGCAGGTGATGTCCGAGGCAGAAAGAGCAAGTCAAGATGCCAAACCTGGTCCACACTCACCCCTTGCTGGGGTACCAGTTTGCCCTGGCATCACAGCTGGTAGGACCTTGAAACCCTGCTGCTAGAGCAAGCCTGGGGACAGTCTGCAGAAGGGCAGGTACCATCTGCTGTCCAGGTTGGACCCTGAGGCAGGACAGTGATGCTGAGATACTGGTTTGGTGCTCACCCAGAGCTTGTGTCACGCTCAGTGGTAGCCTCGTAGGAAGAAAGGGAAGGGGAACCACACAGGGAGGAGCCACCATGGTTGATGGGTTCAGGTCCTACAACGTGGATGTGTTAGTAAAATCTCCTGACTGCAGCCTGAGGAGATGCAGTGCATACTTTTACTCCTTGTGATAATCACTGGCTGGAGCTCCTGGGGTCACCATAGCTGGCATGTCACCGTTCACCCCAGTCTTCTCCTTTTCCTCCTTTTTCATCACAGAGGCCGTGTGTAGAGCTGCTCAGAAAGCATGGACCAGAAAAAGCCAGTACTGGACACACAGAGAAGGGGCCTGAGGGGAAGCTGCTGCAAGGTGACCATTGCTGCTGCCATGGTGGGCAGTGTGACAGCCCTCTGCTACCTGGGGATCCTGCTGGGTGAGTGTGCAGCTGAGTATGTTCCTTTGCTTTATCTGCTCCAAAAAAGAAATGGTCTGCACAGCTCACAGTCCTCATTGCAGAAATCCTCAAAAGCCTTCTGCTGAGGGCAAAAAGTGGTCAACTCTCCCCATATACACACACAAGCTGCAAGGGCTGTAGTTAGCTCATGTTCTGAATAGCTGCCTTTAAAGCTTTTTGTCTGTGGTGTCGTGTGACTCATATGCTCTGTTCCTCTCCTCTGACCTCTCCCTATGACTCCCAAATTCTCTCTCACTGTACCTTGCTGCCCCAGCCACCTCCTGTCACAGCCTCTTGCAGCTTCTGGCCATTGCCTGTTTTACTGTCCTGCTCCAGAGCATGGCCGCGGTCCCCTTGCCTCTCCGAACTCCCTCCTGCTGCTTCTGGTGCCCCATGGCCAGATCCACCTCGGGCCAGCACCCTGGGGTGGCCCCAGCCTGACAGGACTGGCAGATTCCACCAGCACAGCTCTGCTGTACAGTGATGCTTTCTAAGCTGGTTTTGGTACCCAGCGTGCCTTTCCCCAGCCTCTTCCTGCAAGGATGGGGCCAGTCTGGGATCGCACTGCCAGGTTGTACCCATCTGTGTATGAACTTTTGTCTCAGGTTTGACACAAATCCACAATTTTGAAGTCCAAATTGGTCCAGTGCAAAATTCTCCTATTGCATGTGGTGGCAGGGGAGCCCAGCATGGCCATGGGGCACCCCCAAGGCAGCCTGGTGTGGTCAGGGGCAGTCAGGGGGTGGTCAGGGACAGCCAAGATGCTCAAATCAAGGGTCTGCAGGAGAAAATGAGACCCATGTTCCAAAGCAGACAGCAAGGAGAGCTGGGTCCAGCTGTGGCCCCAAACCTCTGTGCGTCCTTTGTGCCTCTGACAGACACCTTCCCTCCCTGGCAGCCTGTCATCCTGCCGGAGAGACCAGCTTTGAGCACACGGTGGAGCTGAGAGGAATCACTTTCAACAGCAGCTTACAGAGGGAGAACTCCGACTACTACAGAGTGCTGACTCCCGCCCTCGAGAGGCTGGTGAGTTGGTCTGAGCTGCCAGGAAAAGACTTGGGAAAGGCTGTGGTAGTTCCCCAGGTCCAGCTCGACTGTCCTCATTCAGCACAGCCTGGATGCCAAGGGCAGGAGGAAAACAGGGACCATCAGCAGGGCACAGCGCGGGGCTGAGCTGCACCTCAAGAGGCCCCATCAAGGCCCTAAGAGACATTTGTGGAGTGGGAAGTGTCCCCTCTGTCCCTTGCAAAAGAGAGGTGGTAGGAGGGCATAAAAGCGGGATGTGCTGCCTCGTGCCCTGAGCCAAGGTGGGAAAAGCTGGACACAGGTGCTCCTGCTGTCTGCAAAGAGAAGCTGCTTCAGCTAACTCCAGCTCCCTGCAAAATCCCAGGCATAGCTGGGTGACCTGCCCAATAAGTGTGTGATCATCTTTGTTTGCTTTGCAGTTTCTGTCCAGTGTCCAGAACTCCCAGCTGGACTGGAGCTGCACTGGTTGCACCATCCTGGGCTACAGGTGAGTGCAGGCAGCTCCCCACACTGTGCCGCTCACATTTCGGGGCATTCTGACAAGCTCCACCAAGAAGGTGAGCTCACACCTGTGTTCTTGTTCAAAACTGATACGAAGAGAAACTGCTTTTTGGTCAAGACTGACTTTTCTTCTGGGATCACATCAAAGTTCTGGGTGCTTTCATTTGGAAATGAAGTCAGAAAAGCAGAGGAAAATGACTTTGTTCAACCAAAGCTGAACTTTGGGCCAAAGAATAAAATACAAATGACCATTTCAACCCAGAGCATATCTCCAGAGAAACTTGCACCTCAGATTATTAAGAATTAGCTTTGTTTCCCTCAAGCTCTCTGTAGGCAGCTAGCACAAGAGCCCTGTACTGACCATGGAGCCAATGTACCCATTAATTCCCCATCTTCCAGCAGGAAAG